GTCTCCGCCTCAACCCCGCATGGGCAATATGGAAGTTGCATATTTTTAACCAAATATGAAAATTATAGCTTTGTAGAAAGAAGACTAGCAACTGTTAGAGAGATAGTATCTTCTAGGGCAGGGCATACGACATGCTGCCCTCCAGATGTCTGTGAGTAACTCCCCACTATCCTTATCAAACTGGCAGGCACTGATGAGAGTTGCACCCTATTGGTTATCCCTCCTCTAGGGTGGGACATGGGTGGTGCTGCGGTTTAAACCACTGAGCCTCTTGGGCTTGCTGATCAGAAGGTTGGCGGTTCGAATCCCTGCAACAGGGTGAGCTCCCATTGCTCAGTCCCAGCTCCTGCCACCTGAGAAGTTGGAAAGCACGCCAGTGCAAGCAGATAAATAGGTACCGCTTCGGTGGGAAGGTAAACGGCATTTCTGGTCTCGGTGTTCTGTTGCACAGAAGCGGCTTAGTCCTGCTGGCCACATGACCTGGAAGCTGTCTGCGGACAAACACCGGCTCCCTCGGCCAGTAAAGAGAGATGAGCACCGCAAACCCATCATCTGTGACTGGACTTAACTGCCAGGGGTCCTTTACCTTTACCTTTTGGGTATGATACAAATCTCCCCCAAATCCACACTTGAATTATAGACAGCAGCAGTGGCAACTAGGAGAGGAATGGGACGCTGCCTCTCTGTTTATCACAGGAAAGCTCATCACAAACCATTCACAAACTGGCATCAAAGCACATACAATGGACCCTCAAATTACATACCGCTCTGGATACATAACTTTTAGGTTGCAAATGCGGCAAACCTGGAAGTATGCATGCACAAAAGTGGAGCCTCCAGTTACAGAGTTTTCAGGTTAAGTACAGACCACCAGAACAAATTTAATTTGTATCCGGAGGGTCCACTGCATAAGGTTTTTTTTTTAAAAAAGCACATAAAAGTTCCATTCACATGTACAGTGGTACCTCGGGTTAAGAACTTAATTTGTTCCAGAGGTCCATTCTTAACCTGAAACTGTTCTTAGCCTGAGGTACCACTTTAGCCAATGGGGCCTCCTGCTGCCGCTACACCGCTGCTGCACGATTTATGTTCTCATCCTGAAGCAAAGTTCTTAACCCAAGGTACTATTTCTGGATTAGCAGAGTCTGTAACCTGAAGTGTCTGTAACCTGAAGCGTTGTAACCTGAGGTACCACTGTAGTGCTAAGCCAAACAATTGCTTCATGTGAATGAACACACACGCATTCTCCTGTAGAGAGCACAACCATTTCCCTCCTCTTCCAGTCCTGCTCCCACTATGAGATATGCTATGCTTCAGCTTAGCATGTCGTCCAAACCCAGGCTATGGTTTGTCTCCTCCAGACTAGCTGCAAGCTGTATTGGAGAACAAACCATGGTTACAGCTTGTGGTTCATGAGACAGACCACAAGCCCAGGTTCAGGTGACATGACTTAGCTCACAGCACCAGTTGGATCAGGGGAGGACGACAGCAGCTGCGATCCCCTCTGCAGGAACTGGCCTGTTTATGCTAAACCAAGCTTTGGCTTAGCGTTAAATGCAAACCAAGGACATAGCTTGACCATTGAACTAAAGTACCTTTTGTATCCTTGTTCTTAAACAAGGCATGAATCAGCTCTAAGATGGAAACAAGCAATTACAGGAAATTATCTATGGAACTCACTGTCACAAGATGTGGTAATAGCCATTGGCTTAAATGGCATTAAGAGGGGATAAGACAAATTGTCTCTGTGCCCAACTTTCCTGAAGCCATCTAGTTCAGGGGTCAGCAAAGTTTACCCTGCCTGGGCCGGTTCACTCCAGTGGAGATTTCCGGTGTCTGTGTCTGCGCAGAAGCGATTTTCAGCACCACAAAGATGAGTCTCCACGCCACGCTGTGCTGGTTTAGCACAGTGCGGGGATTCGCCAAGCGGACGGCTCGGTTTGCGGGTGGCTCGTGGGCCGGTTAAATGATCCCTGTGGGCCGGCCGCTTGTGGCCCATGGGCCTTAGGTTGCCGGCCCCTGATCTAGTTGAAAACAAATGGATCATTGCTCTGATCCAGCAGTTCTCTTCTTATTTTACTGTGGTCTCCTGATCCCAGAAAGAAGACAATTCTCTTTATATATAAAAAGCAGAGGCAGCAGTGGTGAATTATTTACAGCATGGCTTTATTTGATTTACTTTGCCCTTCTTCAAAGCTCAGAGTCAGATTCCTTCTTAACACAAACATGCCATAAAAATACATTCAAACCCTTAAGCCTTTTAAAAACACAAGATCAAACTCTTCAAAACACAAAATGTAACCCCAAGACATCTAGAAGAAGCATCTTCAGTGGAAACCAGCGTGACATTTGTTTTTTTTTATAATAAATTTTTATTAGTTTTCCATAATTAGAAAAAAAACCACAACAAAAACGTAAACAAACATAAAATGGACCTCCCCATACCACCCCTTTTCTGCATCCTTATTTCAAATTTCAAATTTTTCCAGCAACCCTTTAGTCCTAAATGTATTTTACTCATTTCATAAATTTAACTTCCTTAACTTACCAGCGTGACATTTGTGCCAGCAACTTGGGTGAGGACAGAGTTGCAGGGAAACAATGCGGGCCC